CATCTCCTCTCTTAATTACTAATTATAATGTATGATAAACAAATAATGTATTTTTTTTTAAGTAAAATAATAAACTTACGAATTGTACTGAATAAAATTTATCATTTTTCTTACATGTATCTGTGGTATTAGTTACTACTAATATGGACAAAGTTTTATAGTACTAACTTAGTAGCTCTCCTTCAACAACAATTTCATATCTTTCTCTATGGAAACAAACCAGTTTACGAAGGTAAGAAGTTACACTACCTACCACATATCAAATACCCTATTATAGTCTTGAAAAGTTTAATACTGTAGTAGTTGTATAACTATTAAGTTGTAACTTTACAGTTGCAACACAATTAAAAAGTGGATGAATTCCAGCCATCTATTTTTAATTATGACACCATCCCTTGCATAGTTACACGTATGACAAAAACTATAAATATATTTTATAATGATTATTTTAAAATTCTAACGGATTTAATATTTTGGGAAAAAAGAACTAAATATATAAAAATCTTCAGGTTTACCCAGTGTTAACAAACACTGAGCCAATACCCACACTGCTGCACTGGTTCATGTTTAGAAAAACAAAGAAAATTAGACCAAATTTTACAGTATTTCCTTTAACAACAATTATTTTCTATGTAAAGCAGTCTCTCAAAGTACCTGCCAAGCAGACAAGACTTACAACGTAAATTTATGCTATACAAGTTACAACACAATATTGACTATGAATACTGAACAAAGAAATCGCAACTGTCAAATTGATAGGCTTAACATAACGACAGTTACACTATTTAACGTAACTTTCCTAAAAGGAAAATAAAAAACGCGAAATAACCAGAACGGTTTTGGAAAGTGGGTTTTCTTTTATTAGTGGTAAATGGTAAAATAAAACGCAAATAAAAACACTGTATTGGATTCGGAACGACGCGATTTAGAATAAATTAAAATGAGTCATACATGATACAAACAGGAGGATAAGTGCTATATACTTTATTGTCATGAAATTGAAACGTTTATACTTTTAATTTTATAGAATATTTTAAAGTATAGTTTCACTTTAAGACTACTAAAACAGAAAACTAAACTTACCCTTAAAAAAAAGTTTCACATGTCCAACTAAGACTCACACAAAAAACGTGAAACCGTTCAAACATTTTACCACGCTAGTGTTCTTTGTTAGCCCCGTTTTCATGCCACTTGTAAGTTGTAGTTGTACCTATAAAACAGCATGCGTCATGCGGAATCGAAACAGAGGCAAAAACTGTCGTTGACCTTTTTGTTATAGTTGATTAAGAATATCTTGAATAATATTTTAAGACTTTATCTACAACATACATAAATTTAAAGGAACAATTAGCTCTGATTTTTTTTGTACTTTTAGAATAAACTTAAATAGCTAATAAACAAGCGCACTGCGGGGTGACCTTCCTCTACGCAAATACGTTATTGGTAAACATAAGCATCAAAACAACGAGTGGCACTTGAGTCGAAAGATGACACGTGATGCACGTGTTGTTCTATACAGTACTTGCAAATTACTAATAATGTTAATAACCCAGTTAATTATATTTAAAATCTTATTTCATTTTAGAGTCAAAAAGATATTTGCGTTACATAAACAAATATATCAATATAGTATCCCATGCGTGTTGATCTTAACATTAAAATTAAAGATTTACCTCACTTTAACACTTAGTATTACCATTAATCACACCGAAACCATAGACAAGATTTTGATAAGTTTACTAACGTTATAATAAAATTTTATTGTTTTTGATTTATACTTTACGCAGTACATTCCAGGGAGGAAATCGCCCCCAAAGAAAAAACGTGTCTAGGGCCATGACATCTATTCAGTATTTAGCAGTAAGTAAACTCCTTTGTCTATGATTTAAATTCAAATATCCTCTATATATAGTCGAAATTCATATGTTATATGTTTCTCTTTTAAGGTCGACTTACAGATTCATACATATGTATTATATATTTATATACTCAAGCAATTAAATTCAAAAAACCCCATGTCTAGTTATGATAGGCACATATCGGCTTTGGTTATTCAGCTGAGATAACTAAAAATAAAATCCAATTTACTTATATACGTTGTAGTATACTGTAGCTGAGCGCGCACACAGATTCTTTTGGAATTGACAATGACTCACATACTTGCTGATAAACAAAAACATGATAAGCTAATGAAAATAAACACATGATCGTGAAACATGAACTGCAAGTTCCATAGTTTAACTGAAATCACTTTTTATCATGCCTAGTCTCTGTGGGTCTTCGTGTAAGCTGTTTTTCAATGTTTTAGTTTAGTTGTTTCTCTACTAGAGGGAGCCGCTAACCATGATGACTATGATGCAGTATAGAGACCAGCTGCAATATCTAGAATGTTTGTGAATGTAAAGGATCGAAAAACTTTCCGAAATGTCTAGAAACAAAGTTCATTATAAATAGATAATAAGTTACAGTGAAATTATCATTGAGTTTTGTGAGTTCAGTATCAGAAAATTTGTTCAGTATTACAAGTGAGATTTACCGCGTCTGCTCAGTTACTTAAACGATTTAACAAGGTAATTTAGTATCATAAACTATGACAGTGGTTCATAATAGGATCGCAAAAATAGGCAAAAAGCACCTTAAACGGTAAAGATTCGGTTCAAACAACACTTTAAAATCTTTACTATTGACTGCTAGGATTGTGCACATATAAAAATGCAAAAGAATACGCATGTTAGGCATACAAGGAAAAGAAAATCCGCTCAAAACGGCCGTGTTGTAAATCTTATTATTATTCTCTTGCCAGCCTACAACAAAAATAGCTTGGTATATTGCACCCAAACCTTTTGTACAATACTAAATAAGGTACTGCGAAGGTAGTCGGGGTATTGAAAAGCCGATTTGTTTCTTCTATATTTTACATAAGATAAAACAAAAACATCATGATTTTAGTGTAAACGATGTTATCATTACCCCTTGAACTTAGCGTTCTTACAAATATCTGGTGTTCCTTTAAAAAGCTTAAATACAGGGTGACACAGGAATTACCAGTTAATAATAGATTAACATTAGATCACTGTGACATGTATATACTCAATTCTTTATACATTATACAATCGGTGTCTTTAGGGAGCCGTCCCTTACATTATGTACGAAATGAAGGAGTAAAAAAATCAATACATATAACATTAAGTTTTATTACACAGATTCGTAGAACAATTACTTTAAAAGACACGGAAGTTTATTTAAAGCGATGTTTGCCCTATGTTACATATTATAATTTCAAATACCCTG